ACACACTCTGCCTTGTGCAGTGTGCGCCCTCTGGCAGAGGTGTAATAAGAGAGATGTAGATATAGTGTCACAATGTTGTTTTGCTTCCTTCTCTGGGTATCAGCTTTGATAGCTCTTTTGCCACCCACCCCGTATTCGGGACCCCTTGCCGATAAAAGCGTCTCTCGGATAGAGTGTACGGTTTCCATAGCTGATACTTTCTAGCCAAAATCCCGGTATCGTACTCTTATTCCATGTAATAAGAAAAAAAGAAGAATTGTAAGGATGTGCAATGTAATTCGTAAATGTCAATGTCGCAATGTCATTCGTAAAACGTGAAAGGTAATGCGACGCAGGCGGGAATTTTTTTTTGTATTATGAACGACGAGGAGGATAAAAGGTGAATTTAGCTGTGAAAACCGCGAAACAGACATTTTACAACCCGAGCATCTTTCGACGAAACTTTGAAATTCAATTAAAAAAGAACCATATCCGACCGCCAAATAATTTCTGCACCTAAATTCAAACTTTGATATGCAATCACATTTAAAATTTTTGTACAAATGCTCAACAATTTTTAATAGGTTTAAAAGATAACTATTATAGTGTCCCAGTATTTATTTCGACCAGGTATAGTTTAAGGGGTCAAGGATTTTTCGTTTTTTACTGCACACTGCAAAGACTTACACTTCTTAGAAGGGATCAATATTTTGAGCCCCTAGGATAGTTATTTTATTTTTACATACGATTTATATTTAAGTTATCCATACATTTTATTATATGTTCATATTTTGGTTTGTAATTTATTTAACTGTAGGTTTCGAACGATAGTTGTGATGAACTCAATCTCAGACTTTAATATCTCTACGAGAAGATGAAACTAATGCTTAAGATCACAACCGATTCAAATATTTTTTAAATTCTCATAAAGAACGTCGTAATAAGATGATGGTAAGGATATAAAGGTAAATGCGAAAAAAAATAATATAAATTCCATTGTTTATTTTTAAGGCATATCAAAAACACACCATTAATCCTGGCTTTCCTTTAAAACAAATACCGTTTGGACCGTAATAAATTTAAGCCAATTTTTAAATTTAGTGTTAAGGCTTAAAAAAAGGTAGCCGATGTGTTCGGCCTCTAAGAAATTTATATATTATGTAAGATAAATAGAAAACGCCAAGTAAGAGTGAATTATTAAAATTATATGTTATATTGCTATATTTATTACAACTAAGTGTTGTATTTGTATTTATTATATCTTAGTTATGGGGAAAAACTGAGGTTAGGTTAAATTAAGTCGCCTGCCAGGTTCACTGGTAACGAAATTGGAGAAGTATTGTGTGTTATTAGAACGGAATAGGACGGCTACGAAGTTTAGGCTGCTGCCTTCATTATCGTTCCGCCTCCCCAACCTGAAAAGATAATCCGCTCGGCCCGCTTCTTAGCACAATTAAATAAGCTCCGTTGTGATACCGTTAGATCTACGTAATCGTTTTCCTTTTTAAAGAATTATGTTTATTTTCTGTCAACTTTTTTTTAAGAATTTATGGTCTTGTGTTTTTATACCCGTACTCAAAAAAGAGTTAAGGGGTATATTAGATTTGTGGTAAAAGTGGATGTGTGCAACGCAGAGAAGGAAACGTTTCCGACCCCATTAAGTATATACATATATTCTTGATCAGCATCAATAGCCGAGTCGATATAGCCATGCTCGTCTGTCCGTCCGTCCGTCTTGATGAGCGCCTAGATCTGAGAGACTATAAGACCTAGAGAAACCAAATTTGGTTTCCAGACTCATGTGATATCACACTGCTACAAGTGTATTTCAAAATTTTGCCCCGCCCCCTTCCGCCACCACAAAGGACGAAAATCTGTGGCAGGCACATTTTTAAAGATACGATAAAACTAAAAACGCAGTATCGTATAGAATGCCCATATTGCCGACTCTGAACTAGATCGGATCATAATTATAGCCAAAATGAAGAAATTTTCTGTTGGTTCCCTCTCCTTCTCCAGCGCTGCTGACGCTACTGATTCTCTTTCTTGCTCGCACACTCTGCCGCGTTCAGTGCGCGAGCAACCCCTAGCGGAGGAGATGAGAATCTAAATGGTACATGTACAATCTACATGTTAGATGTAGAATATACATTGTAGATGTAGATGTAGATAACATATGTAGCAAAAAAATTTAAAATGTAAAATTTTTTTTTTTAATTTTTCAATTCTAAAAAATCATAAGCTCAAAAATGTACATATATACTGACTGAGTACGGGTATAAGTAGAGTCGCGTCCCCAGAAGCGACTCACACGTTCCTTCTCGTTTTAAAGCTTTTTTCTTTCATTTGAAAACCTAAGAAATTCAGCTATACAAACCCAAGCACTTTGTGATCCCAGCTTGCCGTTTGGGAAATATTAAGGCTTCAAATGCAAAAATTCTGATTTTGTGCGGTATTTTTACGAAATTTTGACTTTAAAAACTCAGGAAATTTAATTTTTAATTTAAGGTGAAAATATGTATATTATTTTTGTCCGAGAGTATTCCCAAAACATTCTCGATTGGGTTTAAAACGGGACAACATGCAGGCCAAGATAAATTTTTCGTTCCTCAAAGAACTGCTTTGTCGCTTTGGATACGTGGATTGATTGCTCAATACTACGGGGGCTGAACTTAAGAGACAGTTTAGCCGTTATATTCCATCAACTACTCGTCGCTGTATTTGAAGCCAAATTCTTTATTTTTTGTTTTGTTTTTAAACATTTTTTGAACAGTATTCTAATTTCCCCAATATTGGATATTTCGCAAATACTTTTGTGCGCAGATTAAGGATAATATTGGCATATTCTCCGACAACTTTACTCCATTCGCCTTTTTCATAAAATTATGACTGTATAACTGACCTTAATTTACGAAAAACTTTAATAAACAGATAATTAGCTCAACTTTCTTGATGCTGTACCAATAATAATTTCCTACTTGGAAAAAACACATTTCACTTAGAAAATTCGGTAAATGTTCGATTTATAAAGAATTTACGTGCAGAAATTATTTAGCGATCGGTCGTTTTGTTTTAAATTAAATTTCAAAGCTTGATTTTTGCCCATACAAAATGTAAACATAATCAGATGTGCTTTTGAAAAAAATGTAAAAGTTTGCACACTTTTTTATATGAGTTTTGACATTTAAGTCTAAGTTTCGTCAAAAGATGTTTATTTTTATATTATGGAAAGTGGCACGCGTTGTAAAATGTCTGTTTCGCGGGTTTTATCGGTAAATTCAGCCGAAATTTCTAAATTTTTGATCGAACTACAGCTTTAGAATAGAATAGTAGAATAGTTTTTCTAAATTTAATAAACAACGAAAACTGAGTTTGGTGGCTACATATTAGTATATGTATATTACTACGAAATTAGGGTTAAATAAAAGAGACGTGCGCTCGATGTCAAGGTTCTTTTTCGACCTATTTTTCTCTATGTTATAATATCTTATTAAGCCAAGAGCGAGAGAGAGCTTTATCGCTGCCAAAACATTCGCCTGGCTAACGAGACAAGCCGCCATGGCCTTAAGCAAGTCAGCAGGTTCCCGGGCTAGCGGGCGCGAGTTGAGCACATACTCGATTCCGACCATCACGGTCTCCAGCTCCTCGGCGGTGAGGAGACGCTTCCGACCGACCTCAGCAGGAGGTTTTTGTCCGACTTCACTCCGGCATCCCAGAGTCCGCCCATGTGCGGTGGTCGAGGCTGAAGGAAGGGAAACTCGCACCCGATTTTGCCGCAAACTCGCGGATGGCGTCCGATTTTGCCCCGATCCTCGTCCGACAAAATTTGTCGCGTTGTCGCAGTTCACTCTTGTTGGACATCATCGACGACCAACGAACCTTTGAAAAGCTAAAAAGGAGTAAGTAGTCAGATCGGAGACAATTTATAGATTAACCGCTTTGGACGCAAAACAGACAAATAACAGACAAACAAATTTGGCAATTGGCATTTAAAGCAGCGAATACACGACCTGACTATCGCCGGCAAACCTCCTGTCCTCCTATCCAAACACGCTGCCTAAAGATGCTCTCAAGTGTTCGTGGGCCGGCATGAAAATTCGTTTGATGCAGTTAGCGAACATACATTATTGGTCTGCACAAACTGCGAGGGTTTTGTCAACAGCGGAAACTTGGCATTGTATGACATAGGAGCGTTAAGTAGACGCCCCCCAACTCGCAACAACGAAAAAGAGTACCAAGTTTCCATTTCTTCATTGATAAAGAGATTTAAACTCTGAAGACTGGGGTCTAATATGGTGCTTTTACGAACCCTTTCAATATCTTCTTAATGCTCGTTTTTATGGATCAACTCGACAATATTTTTTAACAGATAAAACATTCCCAGAATGTGAAAGTATGTGTACGGTTTCCATAGCTTATACTTTCTAGCCAAAATCCCGGTATCGTACTCTTATTCCATGTTATAAGAAAAAAAAGAAGAATTGTAAGGATGTGCAATGTAATTCGTAAATGTCAATGTCGCAATGTCATTCGTAAAACGTGAAAGGTAATGCGACGCAGGCGGGAATTTTTTTTTTTATTATGAACGACGGGGAGGATAAAAGGTGAATTTAGCTGTGAAAACCGCGAAACAGACATTTTACAACCCGAGCATCTTTCGACGAAACTTTGAAATTCAATTAAAAAAGAACCATATCCGACCGCCAAATAATTTCTGCACCTAAATTCAAACTTTGATATGCAAGCACATTTAAAATTTTTATACAAATGCTCAACAATTTTTAATAGTTTTAAAAGATAACTATTATAGTGTCCCAGTATTTATTTCGACCAGGTATAGTTTAAGGGGTCAAGGATTTTTCGTTTTTTACTGCACACTGCAAAGACTTACACTTCTTAGAAGGGATCAATATTTTGAGCCCCTAGGATAGTTATTTTATTTTTACATACGATTTATATTTAAGTCATCCATACATTTTATTATATGTTCATATTTTGGTTTGTATTTTATTTAAATGTAGGTTTCGAACGATAGTTGTGATGAACTTAATCTCAAGACTTTAATATCTCTACGAGAAAATGAAACTAATGCTTAAGATCACAACCGATTCAAATATTTTTTAAATTCTCATAAAGAACGTCGTAATAAGATGATGGTAAGGATATGAAGGTAAATGCGTAAAAAAATAATATAAATTCCATTTTTTATTTTTAAAGCATATCAAAAACACACCATTAACCCTGGCTTTCCTTTAGAACAAATACCGTTTGGACCGTAATAAATTTAAGCCAATTTTTAAATTTAGTGTTAAGGCTTAAAAAAAGGTAGCCGATGTGTTCGGCCTCTAAGAAATTTATATATTATGTAAGATAAATAGAAAACGCCAAGTAAGAGTGAATTATTAAAATTATATGTCATATTGCTATATTTATTACAACTAACTGTTTTAGTATTTATTATATCTTAGTTATGGGGAAAAAACTGAGGTTAGGTTAAATTAAGTCGCCTGCCAGGTTCACTGGTAACGAAATTGGAGAAGTATTGTGTGTTATTAGTAAGCCAAGTAAGAGTGAATTATTAAAATTATATGTTATATTGCTATATTTATTACAATTAACTGTTGTATTTGTATTTATTATATCTTAGTTATGGGGAAAAAACTGAGGTTAGGTTAAATTAAGTCGCCTGCCAGGTTCACTGGTAACGATATTGGAGAAGTATTGTGTGTTATTAGTACGGAATAGGACGGCTACGAAGTATACCTTCATTATCGTTCCGCCTCCCCAACCTGAAAAGATAATCCGCTCGGCCCGCTTCTTAGCACAATTAAATAAGCTCCGTTGTGATACCGTTAGATCTACGTAATCGTTTTCCTTTTTAAAGAATTATGTTTATTTTCTGTCAACTTTATGGTCTTTATTTATGGTCTTGTGTTTTTTTAAAGCTTTTTTCTTTCATTTGGTTGTTCTGAACTTTGCCATTCTGAAAACCTAAGAAATTCAGCTATACAAACCCAAGCATATTATTGAGGCTTTAAATGCAAAAATTCGGATTTTGTGCGGTATTTTTTGCGAAATTTTGACTTTAAAAACTCAGGAAATTTAATTTTTAATTTAAGGTGAAAATATGTATATTATTTTTGTCCGAGAGTATTCCCAAAACATTCTCGATTGGGTTTAAAACGGGACAACATGCAGGCCAAGAGACATTTTCCGGTCCTCAAAGAACTGGAAAAATCCACTTTTCCTCACAGTATGTTTCGCTTAACGGTAATACTGTAATTCTTCACTAAAGAGACAAAATTGAACGTTTCTGCAAATAGCATACGAGCGGTTTTATGCCTTGGTATCAGTATAGGTTTGCGTACCATTTTTCCATATTTAATCCAAACTTAATATTTGCTCAATACTACGGGGGCTGAACTTAAGAGACAGTTTAGCCGTTATATTCCATCAACTACTCGTCGCTGTATTTGAAGCCAAATTCTTTATTTGTTGTTTTGTTTTTAAACATTTTTTGAACAGTATTCTAATTTCCCCAATATTGGATATTTCGCAAATACTTTTGTGCGCAGATTAAGGATAATATTGGCATATTCTCCGACAACTTTACTCCATTCGCCTTTTTCATAAAATTATGACTGTATAACTGACCTTAATTTACGAAAAACTTTAATAAACAGATAATTAGCTCAACTTTCTTGATGCTGTACCAATAATAATTTCCTACTTGGAAAAAACACATTTCACATATAAAATTCGGTAAATGTTCGATTTATAAAGAATTTACGTGCAGAAATTATTTAGCGATCGGTCGTTTTGTTTTAAATTAAATTTCAAAGCTTGATTTTTGCCCATACAAAATGTAAACATAATCAGATGTGCTTTTGAAAAAAATGTAAAAGTTTGCACACTTTTTTATATGAGTTTTGACATTTAAGTCTAAGTTTCGTCAAAAGATGTTTATTTTTATATTATGGAAAGTGGCACGCGTTGTAAAATGTCTGTTTCGCGGGTTTTATCGGTAAATTCAGCCGAAATTTCTAAATTTTTGATCGAACTACAGCTTTAGAATAGAATAGTAGAATAGTTTTTCTAAATTTAATAAACAACGAAAACTGAGTTTGGTGGCTACATATTAGTATATGTATATTACTACGAAATTAGGGTTAAATAAAAGAGACGTGCGCTCGATGTCAAGGTTCTTTTTCGACCTATTTTTCTCTATGTTATAATATCTTATCAAGCCAAGAGCGAGAGAGAGCTTTATCGCTGCCAAAACATTCGCCTGGCTAACGAGACAAGCCGCCATGGCCTTAAGCAAGTCAGCAGGTTCCCGGGCTAGCGGGCGCGAGTTGAGCACATACTCGATTCCGACCATCACGGTCTCCAGCTCCTCGGCGGTGAGGAGACGCTTCCGACCGACCTCAGCAGGAGGTTTTTGTCCGACTTCACTCCGGCATCCCAGAGTCCGCCCATGTGCGGTGGTCGAGGCTGAAGGAAGGGAAACTCGCACCCGATTTTGCCGCAAACTCGCGGATGGCGTCCGATTTTGCCCCGATCCTCGTCCGACAAAATTTGTCGCGTTGTCGCAGTTCACTCTTGTTGGACATCATCGACGACCAACGAACCTTTGAAAAGCTAAAAAGGAGTAAGTAGTCAGATCGGAGACAATTTATAGATTAACCGCTTTGGACGCAAAACAGACAAATAACAGACAAACAAATTTGGCAATTGGCATTTAAAGCAGCGAATACACGACCTGACTATCGCCGGCAAACCTCCTGTCCTCCTATCCAAACACGCTGCCTAAAGATGCTCTCAAGTGTTCGTGGGCCGGCATGAAAATTCGTTTGATGCAGTTAGCGAACATACATTATTGGTCTGCACAAACTGCGAGGGTTTTGTCAACAGCGGAAACTTGGCATTGTATGACATAGGAGCGTTAAGTAGACGCCCCCCAACTCGCAACAACGAAAAAGAGTACCAAGTTTCCATTTCTTCATTGATAAAGAGATTTAAACTCTGAAGACTGGGGTCTAATATGGTGCTTTTACGAACCCTTTCAATATCTTCTTAATGCTCGTTTTTATGGATCAACTCGACAATATTTTTTAACAGATAAAACATTCCCAGAATGTGAAAGTATGTGTACGGTTTCCATAGCTTATACTTTCTAGCCAAAATCCCGGTATCGTACTCTTATTCCATGTTATAAGAAAAAAAGAAGAATTGTAAGGATGTGCAATGTAATTCGTAAATGTCAATGTCGCAATGTCATTCGTAAAACGTGAAAGGTAATGCGACGCAGGCGGGAATTTTTTTTTTTTATTATGAACGACGGGGAGGATAAAAGGTGAATTTAGCTGTGAAAACCGCGAAACAGACATTTTACAACCCGAGCATCTTTCGACGAAACTTTGAAATTCAATTAAAAAAGAACCATATCCGACCGCCAAATAATTTCTGCACCTAAATTCAAACTTTGATATGCAAGCACATTTAAAATTTTTATACAAATGCTCAACAATTTTTAATAGTTTTAAAAGATAACTATTATAGTGTCCCAGTATTTATTTCGACCAGGTATAGTTTAAGGGGTCAAGGATTTTTCGTTTTTTACTGCACACTGCAAAGACTTACACTTCTTAGAAGGGATCAATATTTTGAGCCCCTAGGATAGTTATTTTATTTTTACATACGATTTATATTTAAGTCATCCATACATTTTATTATATGTTCATATTTTGGTTTGTATTTTATTTAAATGTAGGTTTCGAACGATAGTTGTGATGAACTTAATCTCAAGACTTTAATATCTCTACGAGAAAATGAAACTAATGCTTAAGATCACAACCGATTCAAATATTTTTTAAATTCTCATAAAGAACGTCGTAATAAGATGATGGTAAGGATATGAAGGTAAATGCGTAAAAAAATAATATAAATTCCATTTTTTATTTTTAAAGCATATCAAAAACACACCATTAACCCTGGCTTTCCTTTAGAACAAATACCGTTTGGACCGTAATAAATTTAAGCCAATTTTTAAATTTAGTGTTAAGGCTTAAAAAAAGGTAGCCGATGTGTTCGGCCTCTAAGAAATTTATATATTATGTAAGATAAATAGAAAACGCCAAGTAAGAGTGAATTATTAAAATTATATGTCATATTGCTATATTTATTACAACTAACTGTTTTAGTATTTATTATATCTTAGTTATGGGGAAAAAACTGAGGTTAGGTTAAATTAAGTCGCCTGCCAGGTTCACTGGTAACGAAATTGGAGAAGTATTGTGTGTTATTAGTAAGCCAAGTAAGAGTGAATTATTAAAATTATATGTTATATTGCTATATTTATTACAATTAACTGTTGTATTTGTATTTATTATATCTTAGTTATGGGGAAAAAACTGAGGTTAGGTTAAATTAAGTCGCCTGCCAGGTTCACTGGTAACGATATTGGAGAAGTATTGTGTGTTATTAGTACGGAATAGGACGGCTACGAAGTAGCCCTTCATTATCGTTCCGCCTCCCCAACCTGAAAAGATAATCCGCTCGGCCCGCTTCTTAGCACAATTAAATAAGCTCTGTTGTGATACCGTTAGATCTACGTAATCGTTTTCCTTTTTAAAGAATTATGTTTATTTTCTGTCAACTTTATGGTCTTTATTTATGGTCTTGTGTTTTTTTAAAGCTTTTTTCTTTCATTTGGTTGTTCTGAACTTTGCCATTCTGAAAACCTAAGAAATTCAGCTATACAAACCCAAGCATATTATTGAGGCTTTAAATGCAAAAATTCGGATTTTGTGCGGTATTTTTTGCGAAATTTTGACTTTAAAAACTCAGGAAATTTAATTTTTAATTTAAGGTGAAAATATGTATATTATTTTTGTCCGAGAGTATTCCCAAAACATTCTCGATTGGGTTTAAAACGGGACAACATGCAGGCCAAGAGACATTTTCCGGTCCTCAAAGAACTGGAAAAATCCACTTTTCCTCACAGTATGTTTCGCTTAACGGTAATACTGTAATTCTTCACTAAAGAGACAAAATTGAACGTTTCTGCAAATAGCATACGAGCGGTTTTATGCCTTGGTATCAGTATAGGTTTGCGTACCATTTTTCCATATTTAATCCAAACTTAATATTTGCTCAATACTACGGGGGCTGAACTTAAGAGACAGTTTAGCCGTTATATTCCATCAACTACTCGTCGCTGTATTTGAAGCCAAATTCTTTATTTGTTGTTTTGTTTTTAAACATTTTTTGAACAGTATTCTAATTTCCCCAATATTGGATATTTCGCAAATACTTTTGTGCGCAGATTAAGGATAATATTGGCATATTCTCCGACAACTTTACTCCATTCGCCTTTTTCATAAAATTATGACTGTATAACTGACCTTAATTTACGAAAAACTTTAATAAACAGATAATTAGCTCAACTTTCTTGATGCTGTACCAATAATAATTTCCTACTTGGAAAAAACACATTTCACATATAAAATTCGGTAAATGTTCGATTTATAAAGAATTTACGTGCAGAAATTATTTAGCGATCGGTCGTTTTGTTTTAAATTAAATTTCAAAGCTTGATTTTTGCCCATACAAAATGTAAACATAATCAGATGTGCTTTTGAAAAAAATGTAAAAGTTTGCACACTTTTTTATATGAGTTTTGACATTTAAGTCTAAGTTTCGTCAAAAGATGTTTATTTTTATATTATGGAAAGTGGCACGCGTTGTAAAATGTCTGTTTCGCGGGTTTTATCGGTAAATTCAGCCGAAATTTCTAAATTTTTGATCGAACTACAGCTTTAGAATAGAATAGTAGAATAGTTTTTCTAAATTTAATAAACAACGAAAACTGAGTTTGGTGGCTACATATTAGTATATGTATATTACTACGAAATTAGGGTTAAATAAAAGAGACGTGCGCTCGATGTCAAGGTTCTTTTTCGACCTATTTTTCTCTATGTTATAATATCTTATCAAGCCAAGAGCGAGAGAGAGCTTTATCGCTGCCAAAACATTCGCCTGGCTAACGAGACAAGCCGCCATGGCCTTAAGCAAGTCAGCAGGTTCCCGGGCTAGCGGGCGCGAGTTGAGCACATACTCGATTCCGACCATCACGGTCTCCAGCTCCTCGGCGGTGAGGAGACGCTTCCGACCGACCTCAGCAGGAGGTTTTTGTCCGACTTCACTCCGGCATCCCAGAGTCCGCCCATGTGCGGTGGTCGAGGCTGAAGGAAGGGAAACTCGCACCCGATTTTGCCGCAAACTCGCGGATGGCGTCCGATTTTGCCCCGATCCTCGTCCGACAAAATTTGTCGCGTTGTCGCAGTTCACTCTTGTTGGACATCATCGACGACCAACGAACCTTTGAAAAGCTAAAAAGGAGTAAGTAGTCAGATCGGAGACAATTTATAGATTAACCGCTTTGGACGCAAAACAGACAAATAACAGACAAACAAATTTGGCAATTGGCATTTAAAGCAGCGAATACACGACCTGACTATCGCCGGCAAACCTCCTGTCCTCCTATCCAAACACGCTGCCTAAAGATGCTCTCAAGTGTTCGTGGGCCGGCATGAAAATTCGTTTGATGCAGTTAGCGAACATACATTATTGGTCTGCACAAACTGCGAGGGTTTTGTCAACAGCGGAAACTTGGCATTGTATGACATAGGAGCGTTAAGTAGACGCCCCCCCAACTCGCAACAACGAAAAAGAGTACCAAGTTTCCATTTCTTCATTGATAAAGAGATTTAAACTCTGAAGACTGGGGTCTAATATGGTGCTTTTACGAACCCTTTCAATATCTTCTTAATGCTCGTTTTTATGGATCAACTCGACAATATTTTTTAACAGATAAAACATTCCCAGAATGTGAAAGTATGTGTACGGTTTCCATAGCTTATACTTTCTAGCCAAAATCCCGGTATCGTACTCTTATTCCATGTTATAAGAAAAAAAGAAGAATTGTAAGGATGTGCAATGTAATTCGTAAATGTCAATGTCGCAATGTCATTCGTAAAACGTGAAAGGTAATGCGACGCAGGCGGGAATTTTTTTTTTTATTATGAACGACGGGGAGGATAAAAGGTGAATTTAGCTGTGAAATCCGCGAAACAGACATTTTACAACCCGAGCATCTTTCGACGAAACTTTGAAATTCAATTAAAAAAGAACCATATCCGACCGCCAAATAATTTCTGCACCTAAATTCAAACTTTGATATGCAAGCACATTTAAAATTTTTATACAAATGCTCAACAATTTTTAATAGTTTTAAAAGATAACTATTATAGTGTCCCAGTATTTATTTCGACCAGGTATAGTTTAAGGGGTCAAGGATTTTTCGTTTTTTACTGCACACTGCAAAGACTTACACTTCTTAGAAGGGATCAATATTTTGAGCCCCTAGGATAGTTATTTTATTTTTACATACGATTTATATTTAAGTCATCCATACATTTTATTATATGTTCATATTTTGGTTTGTATTTTATTTAAATGTAGGTTTCGAACGATAGTTGTGATGAACTTAATCTCAAGACTTTAATATCTCTACGAGAAAATGAAACTAATGCTTAAGATCACAACCGATTCAAATATTTTTTAAATTCTCATAAAGAACGTCGTAATAAGATGATGGTAAGGATATGAAGGTAAATGCGTAAAAAAATAATATAAATTCCATTTTTTATTTTTAAAGCATATCAAAAACACACCATTAACCCTGGCTTTCCTTTAGAACAAATACCGTTTGGACCGTAATAAATTTAAGCCAATTTTTAAATTTAGTGTTAAGGCTTAAAAAAAGGTAGCCGATGTGTTCGGCCTCTAAGAAATTTATATATTATGTAAGATAAATAGAAAACGCCAAGTAAGAGTGAATTATTAAAATTATATGTCATATTGCTATATTTATTACAACTAACTGTTTTAGTATTTATTATATCTTAGTTATGGGGAAAAAACTGAGGTTAGGTTAAATTAAGTCGCCTGCCAGGTTCACTGGTAACGAAATTGGAGAAGTATTGTGTGTTATTAGTAAGCCAAGTAAGAGTGAATTATTAAAATTATATGTTATATTGCTATATTTATTACAATTAACTGTTGTATTTGTATTTATTATATCTTAGTTATGGGGAAAAAACTGAGGTTAGGTTAAATTAAGTCGCCTGCCAGGTTCACTGGTAACGATATTGGAGAAGTATTGTGTGTTATTAGTACGGAATAGGACGGCTACGAAGTAGCCCTTCATTATCGTTCCGCCTCCCCAACCTGAAAAGATAATCCGCTCGGCCCGCTTCTTAGCACAATTAAATAAGCTCCGTTGTGATACCGTTAGATCTACGTAATCGTTTTCCTTTTTAAAGAATTATGTTTATTTTCTGTCAACTTTATGGTCTTTATTTATGGTCTTGTGTTTTTTTAAAGCTTTTTTCTTTCATTTGGTTGTTCTGAACTTTGCCATTCTGAAAACCTAAGAAATTCAGCTATACAAACCCAAGCATATTATTGAGGCTTTAAATGCAAAAATTCGGATTTTGTGCGGTATTTTTTGCGAAATTTTGACTTTAAAAACTCAGGAAATTTAATTTTTAATTTAAGGTGAAAATATGTATATTATTTTTGTCCGAGAGTATTCCCAAAACATTCTCGATTGGGTTTAAAACGGGACAACATGCAGGCCAAGAGACATTTTCCGGTCCTCAAAGAACTGGAAAAATCCACTTTTCCTCACAGTATGTTTCGCTTAACGGTAATACTGTAATTCTTCACTAAAGAGACAAAATTGAACGTTTCTGCAAATAGCAGACGAGCGGTTTTATGCCTTGGTATCAGTATAGGTTTGCGTACCATTTTTCCATATTTAATCCAAACTTAATATTTGCTCAATACTACGGGGGCTGAACTTAAGAGACAGTTTAGCCGTTATATTCCATCAACTACTCGTCGCTGTATTTGAAGCCAAATTCTTTATTTGTTGTTTTGTTTTTAAACATTTTTTGAACAGTATTCTAATTTCCCCAATATTGGATATTTCGCAAATACTTTTGTGCGCAGATTAAGGATAATATTGGCATATTCTCCGACAACTTTACTCCATTCGCCTTTTTCATAAAATTATGACTGTATAACTGACCTTAATTTACGAAAAACTTTAATAAACAGATAATTAGCTCAACTTTCTTGATGCTGTACCAATAATAATTTCCTACTTGGAAAAAACACATTTCACATATAAAATTCGGTAAATGTTCGATTTATAAAGAATTTACGTGCAGAAATTATTTAGCGATCGGTCGTTTTGTTTTAAATTAAATTTCAAAGCTTGATTTTTGCCCATACAAAATGTAAACATAATCAGATGTGCTTTTGAAAAAAATGTAAAAGTTTGCACACTTTTTTATATGAGTTTTGACATTTAAGTCTAAGTTTCGTCAAAAGATGTTTATTTTTATATTATGGAAAGTGGCACGCGTTGTAAAATGTCTGTTTCGCGGGTTTTATCGGTAAATTCAGCCGAAATTTCTAAATTTTTGATCGAACTACAGCTTTAGAATAGAATAGTAGAATAGTTTTTCTAAATTTAATAAACAACGAAAACTGAGTTTGGTGGCTACATATTAGTATATGTATATTACTACGAAATTAGGGTTAAAAAAAGAGACGTGCGCTCGATGTCAAGGTTCTTTTTCGACCTATTTTTCTCTATGTTATAATATCTTATCAAGCCAAGAGCGAGAGAGAGCTTTATCGCTGCCAAAACATTCGCCTGGCTAACGAGACAAGCCGCCATGGCCTTAAGCAAGTCAGCAGGTTCCCGGGCTAGCGGGCGCGAGTTGAGCACATACTCGATTCCGACCATCACGGTCTCCAGCTCCTCGGCGGTGAGGAGACGCTTCCGACCGACCTCAGCAGGAGGTTTTTGTCCGACTTCACTCCGGCATCCCAGAGTCCGCCCATGTGCGGTGGTCGAGGCTGAAGGAAGGGAAACTCGCACCCGATTTTGCCGCAAACTCGCGGATGGCGTCCGATTTTGCCCCGATCCTCGTCCGACAAAATTTGTCGCGTTGTCGCAGTTCACTCTTGTTGGACATCATCGACGACCAACGAACCTTTGAAAAGCTAAAAAGGAGTAAGTAGTCAGATCGGAGACAATTTATAGATTAACCGCTTTGGACGCAAAACAGACAAATAACAGACAAACAAATTTGGCAATTGGCATTTAAAGCAGCGAATACACGACCTGACTATCGCCGGCAAACCTCCTGTCCTCCTATCCAAACACGCTGCCTAAAGATGCTCTCAAGTGTTCGTGGGCCGGCATGAAAATTCGTTTGATGCAGTTAGCGAACATACATTATTGGTCTGCACAAACTGCGAGGGTTTTGTCAACAGCGGAAACTTGGCATTGTATGACATAGGAGCGTTAAGTAGACGCCCCCAACTCGCAACAACGAAAAAGAGTACCAAGTTTCCATTTCTTCATTGATAAAGAGATTTAAACTCTGAAGACTGGGGTCTAATATGGTGCTTTTACGAACCCTTTCAATATCTTCTTAATGCTCGTTTTTATGGATCAACTCGACAATATTTTTTAACAGATAAAACATTCCCAGAATGTGAAAGTATGTGTACGGTTTCCATAGCTTATACTTTCTAGCCAAAATCCCGGTATCGTACTCTTATTCCATGTTATAAGAAAAAAAGAAGAATTGTAAGGATGTGCAATGTAATTCGTAAATGTCAATGTCGCAATGTCATTCGTAAAACGTGAAAGGTAATGCGACGCAGGCGGGAATTTTTTTTTTTATTATGAACGACGGGGAGGATAAAAGGTGAATTTAGCTGTGAAAACCGCGAAACAGACATTTTACAACCCGAGCATCTTTCGACGAAACTTTGAAATTCAATTAAAAAAGAACCATATCCGACCGCCAAATAATTTCTGCACCTAAATTCAAACTTTGATATGCAAGCACATTTAAAATTTTTATACAAATGCTCAACAATTTTTAATAGTTTTAAAAGATAACTATTATAGTGTCCCAGTATTTATTTCGACCAGGTATAGTTTAAGGGGTCAAGGATTTTTCGTTTTTTACTGCACACTGCAAAGACTTACACTTCTTAGAAGGGATCAATATTTTGAGCCCCTAGGATAGTTATTTTATTTTTACATACGATTTATATTTAAGTCATCCATACATTTTATTATATGTTCATATTTTGGTTTGTATTTTATTTAAATGTAGGTTTCGAACGATAGTTGTGATGAACTTAATCTCAAGACTTTAATATCTCTACGAGAAAATGAAACTAATGCTTAAGATCACAACCGATTCAAATATTTTTTAAATTCTCATAAAGACACGTCGTAATAAGATGATGGTAAGGATATGAAGGTAAATGCGTAAAAAAATAATATAAATTCCATTTTTTATTTTTAAAGCATATCAAAAACACACCATTAACCCTGGCTTTCCTTTAGAACAAATACCGTTTGGACCGTAATAAATTTAAGCCAATTTTTAAATTTAGTGTTAAGGCTTAAAAAAAGGTAGCCGATGTGTTCGGCCTCTAAGAAATTTATATATTATGAAGATAAATAGAAAACGCCAAGTAAGAGTGAATTATTAAAATTATATGTCATATTGCTATATTTATTACAACTAACTGTTTTAGTATTTATTATATCTTAGTTATGGGGAAAAAACTGAGGTTAGGTTAAATTAAGTCGCCTGCCAGGTTCACTGGTAACGAAATTGGAGAAGTATTGTGTGTTATTAGTAAGCCAAGTAAGAGTGAATTATTAAAATTATATGTTATATTGCTATATTTATTACAATTAACTGTTGTATTTGTATTTATTATATCTTAGTTATGGGGAAAAAACTGAGGTTAGGTTAAATTAAGTCGCCTGCCAGGTTCACTGGTAACGATATTGGAGAAGTATTGTGTGTTATTAGTACGGAATAGGACGGCTACGAAGTAGCCCTTCATTATCGTTCCGCCTCCCCAACCTGAAAAGATAATCCGCTCGGCCCGCTTCTTAGCACAATTAAATAAGCTCCGTTGTGATACCGTTAGATCTACGTAATCGTTTTCCTTTTTAAAGAATTATGTTTATTTTCTGTCAACTTTATGGTCTTTATTTATGGTCTTGTGTTTTTTTAAAGCTTTTTTCTTTCATTTGGTTGTTCTGAACTTTGCCATTCTGAAAACCTAAGAAATTCAGCTATACAAACCCAAGCATATTATTGAGGCTTTAAATGCAAAAATTCGGATTTTGTGCGGTATTTTTTGCGAAATTTTGACTTTAAAAACTCAGGAAATTTAATTTTTAATTTAAGGTGAAAATATGTATATTATTTTTGTCCGAGAGTATTCCCAAAACATTCTCGATTGGGTTTAAAACGGGACAACATGCAGGCCAAGAGACATTTTCCGGTCCTCAAAGAACTGGAAAAATCCACTTTTCCTCACAGTATGTTTCGCTTAACGGTAATACTGTAATTCTTCACTAAAGAGACAAAATTGAACGTTTCTGCAAATAGCAGACGAGCGGTTTTATGCCTTGGTATCAGTATAGGTTTGCGTACCATTTTTCCATATTTAATCCAAACTTAATATTTGCTCAATACTACGGGGGCTGAACTTAAGAGACAGTTTAGCCGTTATATTCCATCAACTACTCGTCGCTGTATTTGAAGCCAAATTCTTTATTTGTTGTTTTGTTTTTAAACATTTTTTGAACAGTATTCTAATTTCCCCAATATTGGATATTTCGCAAATACTTTTGTGCGCAGATTAAGGATAATATTGGCATATTCTCCGACAACTTTACTCCATTCGCCTTTTTCATAAAATTATGACTGTATAACTGACCTTAATTTACGAAAAACTTTAATAAACAGATAATTAGCTCAACTTTCTTGATGCTGTACCAATAATAATTTCCTACTTGGAAAAAACACATTTCACTTAGAAAATTCGGTAAATGTTCGATTTATAAAGAATTTACGTGCAGAAATTATTTAGCGATCGGTCGTTTTGTTTTAAATTAAATTTCAAAGCTTAATTTTTTCCCATACAAAATGTAAACATAATCAGATGTGCTTTTGAAAAAAATGACATTTAAGTCTAAGTTTCGTCAAAAGATGTTTATTTTTATATTATGGAAAGTGGCACGCGTTGTAAAATGTCTGTTTCGCGGGTTTTATCGGTAAATTCAGCCGAAATTTCTAAATTTTTGATCGAACTACAGCTTTAGAATAGAATAGTAGAATAGTTTTTCTAAATTTAATAAACAACGAAAACTGAGTTTGCTGGCTACATATTAGTATATGTAAATTACTACGAAATTAGGGTTAAATAAAAGGGACGTGCGCTCGATGTCAAGGTTCTTTTTCGACCTATTTTTCTCTAAGTTATAATATCTTATTAAGCCAAGAGCGAGAGAGAGCTTTATCGCTGCCAAAACATTCGCCTGGCTAACGAGACAAGCCGCCATCGCCTTAAGCAACTCAAACCCTCCTGGTCGGGGGTGCTGGGGGTGCGATGAGCAGCAGGTTCCCGGGAGTCAGCGCGTCTCCGTCGCTTGGGACTGGGCCTAGCGGGCGCGAGTTGAGCACATACTCGATTCCGACCATCACGGTCTCCAGCTCCTCGGCGGTGAGGAGACGCTTCCGACCGACCTCAGCAGGAGGTTTTTGTCCGACTTCACTCCGGCATCCCAGAGTCCGCCCATGTGCGGTGGTCGAGGCTGAAGGAAGGGAAACTCGCACCCGATTTTTGCAGCAAACTCGCGGATGGCGTCCGATTTTGCCCCGATCCTCGTCCGACAAAATTTGTCGCGTTGTCGCAGTTCACTCTTGTTGGACATCATCGATGACCAACGAACCTTTGAAAAGCTAAAAAGGAGTAAGTGGTCAGATCGAAGACAATTTATAGATGAACCGCTTTGGACGCAAAACAGACAAATAACAGACAAACAAATTTGGCAATTGGCATTTAAAGCAGCGAATGCACGACCTGACTATCGCCGGCAAACCTCCAGTCCTCCTATCCAAACACTCTGCCTAAAGATGCTCTCAAGTGTTCGTGGGCCGGCATGAAAATTCGTTTGATGCAGTTAGCGAACATACATTGGTCTGCACAAACTGCGAGCGTTTTGTCAACAGCGGAAACTTGGTATTGTATGACATAGGAGCGTTAAGTAGTCGCCCCCAACTCGCAACAACGAAAAAGAGTACCAAGTCTCCATTTCTTCATTGATAAAGAGATTTAAACTCTGAAGACTGTGGTCTAATATGGTGCTTTTACGAACCCTTTCAATATCTTCTTAATGCTCGTTTTTATGGATCAACTCGACAATATTTTTTAACAGATAAAACATTCCCAGAATGTGAAAGTATGTGTACGGTTTCCATAGCTGATACTTTCTAGCCAAAATCCCGGTATCCTACTCTTATTCCATGTAATAAGAAAAAAAGAAGAATTGTAAGGATGTGCAATGTAATTCGTAAATGTCAATGTCGCAAATGTCATTCGTAAAACGTGAAAGGTAATGCGACGCAGGCGGGAATTTTTTTTGTATTATGAACGACGAGGAGGATAAAAGGTGAATTAAGCTGTGAAAACCGCGAAACAGACATTTTACAACCCGAGCATCTTTCGACGAAACTTTGAAATTCAATTAAAAAAGAACCATATCCGACCGCCAAATAATTTCTGCACCTAAATTCAAATTTTGATATGCAAGCACATTTAAAATTTTTATACAAATTTTTATACAAATGCTCAACAATTTTTAATAGTTTTAAAAGATAACTATTATAGTGTCCCAGTATTTATTTCGACCAGGTATAGTTTAAGGGGTCAACGATTTTTCGTTTTTTACTGCACACTGCAAAGACTTACACTTCTTAGAAGGGATCAATATTTTGAGCCCCTAGGATAGTTATTTTATTTTTACATACGATTTATATTTAAGTCATCCATACATTTTATTATATGTTCATATTTTGGTTTGTAATTTATTTAAATGTAGGTTTCGAACGATAGTTGTGATGAACTTAATCTCAAGACTTTAATATCTCTACGAGAAAATGAAACTAATGCTTAAGATCACAACCGATTCAAATATTTTTTAAATTCTCATAAAGAACGTCGTAATAAGATGATGGTAAGGATATGAAGGTAAATGCGTAAAAAAATAATATAAATTCCATTTTTTATTTTTAAGGCATATAAAAAACACACCATTAACCCTGGCTTTCCTTTAGAACAAATACCGTTTGGACCGTAATAAATTTAAGCCAATTTTAAAATTTAGTGTTAAGGCTTAAAAAAAGGTAGCCGATGTGTTCGGCCTCTAAGAAATTTATATATTATGTAAGATAAATAGAAAACGCCAAGTAAGAGTGAATTATTAAAATTATATGTCATATTGCTATATTTATTACAACTAACTGTTTTAGTATTTATTATATCTTAGTTATGGGGAAAAAACTGAGGTTGGGTTAAATTAAGTCGCCTGCCAGGTTCACTGGTAACGAAATTGGAGAAGTATTGTGTGTTATTAGTACGCCAAGTAAGAGTGAATTATTAAAATTATATGTTATATTGCTATATTTATTACAATTAACTGTTGTATTTGTATTTATTATATCTTAGTTATGGGGAAAAAACTGAGGTTAGGTTAAATTAAGTCGCCTGCCAGGTTCACTGGTAACGATATTGGAGAAGTATTGTGTGTTATTAGTACGGAATAGGACGGCTACGAAGTAGCCCTTCATTATCGTTCCGCCTCCCCAACCTGAAAAGATAATCCGCTCGGCCCGCTTCTTAGCACAATTAAATAAGCTCCGTTGTGATACCGTTAGATCTACGTAGTCGTTTTCCTTTTTAAAGAATTATGTTTATTTTCTGTCAACTTTTTTAAAGAATCTATGGTCTTGTGTTTTTTTTAAAGCTTTTTTTCTTTCATTTGGTTGTTCTGAACTTTGCCATTCTGAAAACCTAAAAAATTCAGCTATACAAACCCAAGCATATTATTGAGGCTTTAAATGCAAAAATTCTGATTTTGTGCGGTATTTTTTGCGAAATTTTGACTTTAAAAACTCAGGAAATTTAATTTTTAATTTAAGGTGAAAATATGTATATTATTTTTGTCGGGAGTATTCCCAAAACATTCTCGATTGGGTTTAAAACGGGACAACATGCAGGCCAAGAGACATTTTCCGGTCCTCAAAGAACTGGAAAAATCCACTTTTCCTCACAGTATGTTTCGCTTAACGGTAATACTGTAATTCTTCACTAAAGAGACAAAATTGAACGTTTCTGCAAATAGCATACGAGCG